AAACTAGTGTCCCAGTACACAAAATTCCTGCAAACGGGGGGGGTGGGGGTGTGTGTGTGTGTGTGGTGGGCAGATTGTCTCTCAGTCTGGCCTGCTCCCTCTCCAATCTGGGACCCCTTGCGAGATGTCCCACTGCCAGTTTTTGGGCCTAAACCAGCAATCAGACATCCCTTTTAAAATCTGGGACCTCTGACTCCTAACCACTCACCTGCCTAATTGCCCCTAAACACTCTGCCTGCCGCCCCCAAATATCCCCCTTGCTGATCTGCTTACCTCCACCTACCCCCCTTTGCTGGCCTGATCAACCCCAACTGCCCTCCCCTGCCAGCCTGATCACCCCTGCCTCTGCCTCTGCCTGGGCCCCACCAGCATGGCTTTGTCCAGTCTAATTAGCATATTACCCTTTTATTATTATAGACCAATTGCCACAGTCAGAAAACTGTGGCTTTTGAGTCACATGCAGCTCTTTGGCCCCTTGAGTGTGGCTCTTCCATAAAATACTATGGCCTGGGCACTTCTCTTTTGTAGAAGTAACGTTAGAAGAAGTTTAAGTTTAAAAAATTTAGCCCTCAAAAGAAATTTTAATTGTTGTACTGCTGATATTTGACTCTGTTGACTAATCATTAGTTTGCTAACCACTGGACTAGAGCCCAGGTGCATGAAATTCCTGCATTTGGGGGGAGTGGCTCAGCCTGGATTTCGAGAGGGCGCAGGCCAGGCCAAAGAACCCCACTGGTGCACTACAGGGCTGTCTCATTCAGTCCCGATTATCTGGACCCCACCAGCAAACTAACCTACCAATAGGAGTGTCTGCCCTCTGGTGGTCAGTGCACATCATAGCAAGCAGTTGAGCTACCTTAGCATATCATTAGCATATTATGCTTTGATTGAACAGCTGACCAGACGACAGGACACTTAGCATATTAAACTTTTATTATATAGAATATGTTTACAGATCTCTGCCCCTGGTTCCTGACAAGGGCTCCTAAAACCCTATGTTAATTTGAAAAGGCGGCCTCAATGGTTGGACAAAAATGAGGCTCTGCAGCCCACGCCAAAACCTGACTTGCATGCGAAAAAAGTGATGTTGATGTTGTGTTTGGTGGAATTTTAAAGGAATTCTTCATTATGAACTTTTACCATCTAACCAAACCATTACAAGTGCAGTGTATAGTGCCCAATTGGAAAGGTTAGCCCAAGCTTTAAGAGAAAAAGAACCTGCGCTGATTAATCGGAAGGGCGTAATTCTTCACCACGATAACACACGACTGCATACTGCAAGAATCACTGCTGAAAAACTGCGCCAGTTGGAATGGGAAGTTCTCCCTTAACCTGCATATTCTCCTGATATTGCCCCTTCCGATTACCATTTGTTTCGTTCTTTGCAAAACTTTCTTCTTGGAAAAAAATTTAATAATGAAGAATGCCTCAAAAATGCATTGACCGAATTTTTTGCATCAAAATCACAAGAATTTTACAACAGAGGGATTAAAATGCTTCCTGAGCGTTGGGCAAAACAACGGCAACTATATTGTTGATTAAATTTTGTTGTATTGTTTAAATAAATTCGATTTAAAAAAGTATTAGAAAACGACATTAATTATTACTAGACCTAATACCTCAATGCAGGTATATGTAATTTTTCACTGCAATAATATGCTCCTTTAAATCTTTGGAAGTAGAAAAAGTAAAAATTATAAATGCAGAGCAGTGTCCATTCTGTAGCTTCACAAAATTCAATACCTATGAATCACTTTACAAGAGCTAATGTATGTAACAGAATTCCTTGTAAAAGTCTGATATTTTTACCTAATATTTTTAGGAGAATCTAGGCTTAAGTTGCTTGGTTCTCTCTCCTTTCTGGAAACAAAACCCAAATCCTACAAAAGAAACTATGCGTTCTTTAGATGAGTTTTGCAGAGTACTTTGGGAGCTCTCAAATCATTGACTTATTTAAATTATTTAAAATATACTCCAACTATTTTTAAACTGTTAAAAAACATAAAAACACCAACATTATCATATGGCAAATACTTAGTACACTGTATATCATCACATCATTATGTACTTCCAGGTTAAATAATTTTGGGGCAAAAGTCAAAACAAACATTCTCCACCATTTGGCTTAACTAAAAAGTTAAGTTGGTATTTTTAAAAATATAGACTTAAAAATTGGCATTTTAAAAAACAGACTTCTGCCTTGGGATGTAAAGAGCCGGGAAAATGTTGCTTCCACCTGTGCAGCAAAAAAAGAGCAAGTTGAGCTTCAAATTAAGACTCTGAGCCCATAGGAGAACTGAGGTTGCAAAGGAAACAACTGGTACAAAATCATCTCTGCAGGTAAGAGGTGACACAACCTCCCTAATGTACTGCAGCTGGAATAGCTGGCAGAGGTGCGGGCAGGTTGCAGAATGGCAGAATAGTGTGAACCCCTTGAGGCTGAAAATAGTGGGTGAGTCCACATCCTCTGACAGGTTCTTCCTCCAAGAACCCTACCCAGCACTCACAAAAGAGGACAGGGAAGAGTCCTAAGAGGTGTCCATTATGGAACAGTCCAGGGGTAGGGAACAGAGGCTATGTATGAGGGGCAGAAACTTCACCAGAATCTTTCCCCTCTATGTCCACTACAGAACAAAATTCCTTCAAAACTAACACAAATTACTAAAGAAGAAATAGACCTAAATATAATAATTGTTTAAAATTTTCCAAAAACAATCTCAAGACCGAGATGGTTTCACTAGCAAATTCTAATTCTATGCAATTATCTTCAACAAAAGGGAAACACTTCCCAAGTGATATTATAAGGCTAACATTAGCATAAAACCAAAATCAGATAGACATTAGAAGAAATTTACTGCCAATATGCCTCATGAACATAGATGGACCTGGGGGAATGTGCTTGGATGAAGTCAGAGAAAGACAAATATATTGTACTTTGCTTATATGTGGAATCTAAAGAAAAAAATAAATGAACAAATTTATAGACACAGAGAACAAACTGATGATTGCTACGTGGAAAAGTCTGGGGGGTTAGGTTTAAAAGGTAATGAGTTTATTAAGTACAAATCGGCAGTTACAAAACAGTCACAGGGATGTAAAGTGCATCTTAGGGAAATATAGTCAATATCATCATCATAACTAAATATGGTGTCAGGTGGGCACAGGACCTCTCGAGATCACTTTAAGTTATATAAATGTCCAACTACTATGCTGTTCACCTGAAATATTGAATGTTAACTGTAACTGAAAAATTAAAGATTTAAGGGTATGTAATTTTGGTAAATTAGACTTAACTGGTAGAATAATATTGACAATATAATATCTAAAACTGAATATCACCTAAAAGTATTCAAAAATAGTATTATTCATAAAATCAATATGTAAGATTCATTTAATAAGGGAGAGTAGTTTGCTGGCTATATGAGCAATAGATCTGAAGTATATTAAATGGTGCTCATATTTGTATTATATAACATCAAACACTACTTTAAACTCTCCCACGTTGTTTTCCTTATGGAGATTTCCTTACAATGTAAGATTTGGGCTACAATTAGAAAAATTAATGGTAGAGTATACTTGAATGCTGAGAAAAATGAAAAAACAAAAAAACCTGTAAGGTTCCTTAGAGGCAGGGTTAGCCACTCATTTGCAGGAAAGTACAGGGATGAGAGACAATGTGGGAGTATAAGAGAATGAAGTAGGAGTTATCAAAGAGCCTAGTTTTGTTGTACAATATTTTAAATTGTTTTTTTATTATTGAGTTACAACAGTTCTTTATATGTATGGGTTTTTGGATATGAGTTTCTTGACATAGGCTTTGCAAATGTTTCTCCCATTCTGTGGGTGGTTGCTTCCGTTTCTTGATGGTATTCTTTGAAGCACAAGTTTGAAATATTAAGTCCAATTTGTCTTATTTCTCTTGTTACACATCATTTTGTTGTTGTACTAAGAAATTATTGCCTAATCCAAGGTCAAATATTTACTCCTGTTTTCTTCTAATAGTTTTATAGTTTCAGCTCTTATATTTAGGTTGATGATTGATTTTTTTTTATATGATGTAAGGCAGGAGTCCAACTTCATCCTTTTGTATGAGTATATCCAGTTATCACAGAACCACCAAGATGAATGGAGGCTGGGAATAACCCACATTCATACTCTCCTGGAGAGTATGCCAGCTTCTCTTTAATTGAATCAATCCGTTCTCTGGATTTTGCTGACAGATGTCCATGATCTCTCAGCTGCAGCATTTTCCAGAAAGCAACAGTGTCCCAGCCATTACTTTCACATAGTTGGCTCATCAAAACTGAGTAGGGGGTCCTGCTACATCAACACTGGCTCAATATGTGGTTAGCACATCTTTGGTTCTTAGGATTGAGACTTTTTCTTTAGTAATCAAATACTTTATGTCCACTGGTTGCTCATCTCATGTATGGCCAAGGCACTCGTCCTGGCCTGACTTTTCACCTCAGGACCCAGAACTGGAGTTTTTAGGTTCTGGGTTTTACTCCTTGGCTCTCAATATGTCTCAGTGTAGAACACACTTAAGCCTATCTGAACTCCTATACCCAGATCGATAAACTGATGTGATAAGACAAAGGAATCCCTTTAAATTCTACTATTCTACCAGGAAATCACAATAGGAGGAATATTCTTAAATCCTTAATAAATAATAATTTTGATTGTATGAATTTAATAAAAACAATCAGGAAATTAGATAAGAGCACTTAGCATATTTCCTGGTATATTAATATGTGATTCATAAATATTATTAACAGATAGGAGTCTTGGGGAGAAGGTAGGAGGAAGAATAAAGAGGAAGAGAAAATAGGGAAGTCTAGCATGCAGTATTTTCGAGGCTTTGTTCTCACACTGCTTAAATACCTCCCTCATAAATGTGAATCAAAAATATTTTTATCATTCTGTATGAGATATTTGACTTAAATATTTGTTGTAAGAAAAATACTATATCACCTTTTGATAAAAAGCAAGGAAAAACCATGTCTTTACACTCAATTTTATTAAACAAATAAGGCTGGTAGTGGAACTTTTTTTATTTAATGCATAAACATATAAGTCCCTTTATTAGAGAAATTGTACATATTGATGAAGAGGGTCAATGGTCACATCTATGGGTTAATTCTTTAAAAATCAGAACCAATGATTAGGATAAACTGTAAACTCTCTTCGTTACATTGTGAAGTGTCTTGTGTAGTCATACTCTATTGTTGGAATGACAGCTTGTACAAATTTCAAGAAAATTAGAAGATACCTGAGGTCTTTGGCTAAGGAAAATAGATTGGTAAATAGCTCAATGATTTAAGCTAACATTGTAATTATCTATTTTATTAAGCAATAATTTCTCAGAAAAAATACCTAAGATAAGATCTTAAATCAAGTATATTTAAAAAATTCACTCATGCAAGCTGTGTCTAGTCCATCTGAGGCTCTCTGTAACTTTCCATTCCCTTTAAATATTTGAATGTGAAAATTCTTGTTGAGTTAAGAGTTTATACATGCCCAATTATTTTGGTATAAAAATAAAGACAAGGTTGTCCATGTTAAAATGACTCTTACTGTCTACAATAGGGGTGTCGAATTCAATCAGAGAAGGGGCCAAAATCTAAAATCCAGCCTAAATCGCGGGCCGAATGGTTTACTGAACAGTCATAAACTGTCATTGTGATGGAAACGCAGCGGAGTGCAGTGATGACAGCACGGTGCGGGCCACATTGCAAGGCCTGGCGGGACGGATTTGGCCCGCGGGCCTTGTGTTTGACACATGTGTCTACAAACTAGTATGTTCGAAAATGAGATGGGTTAAAGAATATAAAAGCACTGAAGCAAAAGAGAAAAAAAATTAGGTGGAAACCCTCCATCAGAACCAATTCTAGGTTAGGGCATCTGTATTTGGCACAGAATCTGTTATTTTGGACTATCTTTAATAAAACCCTGAATTTTTTTCTACATTTCATTGTACTTGAAAACATTAGGAGCTCAGTTTTTACTGGGGGAACTGATGACTCAATTTTAAATTATATATAGTCTTCCAAGTTGCTACCTAGCCACAGAGAATGCTCAAATTATGCATAATAGAATTTCAGGAATAAATTTAATTTGGACCAAAAGTCCTTGATTTGTTTCAATATCAAATTGGTTCATGTACCTCTGAGAGATGCACTTTATTTGCAATGCTTAGGTTACCTGTAATATCAAGAGTGTAACACCTTTTAACCTATATCTAACACATAAGGATATGAACCACCATGTGTAATATCAATCTAGCACAAAACTAATTCAAGCTATTTGCATCTAAACCACTGACTATGGCTGCTTTTGATGAATCTATGTTATGGGTACACACATTTCAGGATTCAGAAGTTTACTTAATTTATTCATCTTGATAACCCCAGAGAATGGAGTTAATCTCAGAAGACAATTATAGTAAGAAGGGTATACCCTTCTTGTAGAAAAATGAAAGAAAAAAAAATGGGGGAAAATGAAAATACTATATTTTAAGAATATCTGAAATATGCTTCAATTGCTTTATTTTTTAACCTATTTAAGTTGAATTCTTTGCTTCAGAGAGACCTCAGACTGCCACAAATGAACTTTACTTTTACCTGAGAGGAAAGCACATTTTATAACATGATAAATTGGATATATACTTAGGGAAAAAGTAATCATGTATTATCCTCTAAATAATTAGACTACTCATCTTTCATCAATAAATTAAGTCCATTGAGTTTCTTTTTCATCAAGAGCAATGGTTTTATATTCATATAGCTTAGCCACATTGCCTCTTCAATAAACAAGAGCATTTGGAAAACTTGTTTCAGTCTCTGTAACAAGGCAGACCTAACTGGTACACACAGGGACATGTGCTGTTCAACTGAACAAGGCAGAATAATCACAATATAACACATTCTAAATAAATTAAATATTCCCATTAAGACTTCCAGATATGAGAGGCTAAAACAAGTTATAGGTACTGTGCCATTAAGGTTAAACTAAATCAATCCCTGCCTCCCTGGCAAAAAATCCTAGGAGTCAATTTGCCACTAGTCATATAAACAGGTAAGGATACATATGAACACCAAGTTCTCCCCCTCCTTCTGCAACAGTCTCAATGATTTTCTTCATCACCTCAGCATGCCTAAAAGCAAAAAGACAAATCTTATGAATATAAATCAATTAGACCAAAACAGGAGTTTTTGTTTGTAAAGAAATCTACCTTATTGTCACTGAATCAGTTTTAATATATAATAGTTACATTATAAGACATTCTCCCTATTCCCCAGCATGCCAGATGGTTGAGTCATGAAGACAGATATTGGAGAAGGGGCAATTTTAAAAAGCTCTGGTAATCACAGATGAACAAAAATGGTACCAGTCAGTTTTCCTATAATGGGGGAGGAAGGCTGGGAGAGTTGGGATGGGGGGAATACAGAGCAGATAGAAAACTGGAGAAAGGGAAATCATGCCAAGGCAGAATTGTGGAGAAAGGCTTTCTGCTGAGAAAGAAAAAGAATTAAACCATGTATGGTAACAGTAAAAAAATAAAAAAATAAAAAAAGGGAGGGGGAATACTTATAATGCTGTAATTTTGGCTGTTTAAATATTTAGCTGAAAATAAGCCAAAACTGAATTAAAGAAAAGCTAACTCGTCAGTAAAAAAGCTTAGATATTTTTTTCTCATTTGTGCTGTAAACTTTATCTGATTCTATTACGAAGTATTTTTTGTTTTTATACAGAGAACTAGAAACCCGATGCATTAAATTCATGCAAGAGTAGGCCTTTGCAGCCAAGGCAGCTGCCTGGATCTGTCCCTTGCAGCCACAGCAGCTGCCTCCATCCCAAGGCTGCAGACCCAGCTTCCTCCAGAAGGACATCCAGTCTAATTAGCATTTTATGCTTTTATTATCATAGATATTTATCTGAAGTTTTTGTCCTACCAACAAATCCTTTCATAGCCAATTGGTGTTTCTTCTGTGCTATACAAAAGAAAATTGTCTGGGCATATAAACTGAGAAAAGGACAATGAACAAAATTAATGCATAATCCTTTATATCACCCTGGCTTAAAGATATAATGCTTTAATTTTTATGAATACAACCTTTATAACAAAGGCACTTAACTTAGAAGATAAGAGATTAAATGTATTAACTCTGAGGCTATGAAGGCATAATCTGAGATGAGCCATGGCAAGGCCTAAATTGTCCTTGAAGTGTCATTTTACAGGCCCCCCAGATTTTCTGCCATATTTACATGTTATGTCATTATATAATAGTTACTTATTAAAATTGTATAAAATTAATTCAGTTAAATTACTTATCTCTTTTACCAATTGGGTAAAATTTACACCTCAGAGTGTAAATTTAACAAGTACCATCCTAAAATCTCAGTTAAAAAAGAATCAAAGATAAAAACCTTTTAGATTAAGTAATTAAAAACTAAAACTAATGATGCATCAATTACTTTTCACAGCAATATTAATACTTCTTGACATAAACTGGAAAAATGAATCAAACTTTCTATGGGATAAAGTCTAAGAATAAAGAGGTTGTAAAAAATGAGAAGAAACTATTAAAGAATTTTTGAAAACTAGAACATTACATTGAATAAGTCAATGGGATATCAGAGTTTTCATCTGAAAATTGTTATCAGAATTTCTCAATAATTTTGTGAAAGTTACCCATTAGAAACAACTAACAAAGAAATTGGCATATAACACCTCTTTTTTTATAAGGAAATTTCTGAACAAATCATGTATAGATTCAGCTTCACTTATTTGATCCTTTGAAAACACAATGATATAAAGAAAATCCCAAATTATAAATGTTCTTGATTTGGTAGGACTGAAAATTTCTTGACTAAAGAGTAAAGGAGAATAGAAAGTCCACATATGCATCTCCCTTCACTAATCAATAAAAGGAGATAAATAGGTCACCTAGAAAAAGCACAAGGTTAATTTTATATTCCATATTCACAGAAAGATACAGCATGACAGAGCAAACCATGCCTAATAGTATTTTTTAATACAAAAAGGATCATCCAAACTATTCGTGGAGATAAAAATAGGAATAAAATCATCAAGATCGATACCTAAACACATACAAAGAATAAAAATATATTCTTAACTGAATTTAAAATAAATTTAGAAAGTTTTTTGTTGCCTTTTTCTTATGTATTTAAGCACAAAAGCATAAGACAAATTTATAAGATAAATTTTATCTGCATATTCAGTATTTTTTTGTTTTTTTTGTTTTTGTTTACATTTATAAACTCCCCAAGTAATAAATCCATGAAGTATACACACACACACACACACACACACACACACACACACACACAGACCTGCATGGATGAACTGAACACATAGGAGGTGGTGGGAGATGAGGATGATTTTCAATGGTCACTGTTTTCTTCACATGATCTTGACTGATGTCTTCATACATGTGTTCAACTGTTAAAGGCTGCCGTTGCTGAAACCATAAAAATGTTTTAAAGTTATCATTTAAAAACTTTTAGGCCTAAAATTCAATATTTATAATATATTCATCTCCACCTCCCATAACACAATTCAGAATTCTAGACTATTTAGAGTTGCCAGATTATTTGGGGGAAATTTTATACTAAGAAAGCCTGATTGTCCATCAGACTATATGACATCAACCATCAGCTAACATAGTAAAGATCCCATGAAAAGGCAGGTTCATGGTTATCCAAACATTTTATAATTATAACTCAGCTTTTAGGCCTATTTTGTTGTATTCTCTTTTAATATATTTTATTGAATTTTTTACAGAGAGAAAGGGAGAGAGATAGAAAATTATAGAAACATCAATAAGAAACATAAATCAGCTGCCTCCTGCACACCCCCCCACTGGGGATGTGCCCACAACCAAGGTACATGCCCTTGACTGCAATCGAAACCGGGACCCTTCAGTCCACAAGCCAATGCTCTATCCACTGAGCCAAACTGGTTTTGGCTTTCTTGTATTTTCTTGTTTCCTATTGATAGTCATTGGAATAACAGGTAAAACAAATTTTATTTTAGTTATCCTTTAATTCAATTAAGTGGATGACTTTTAAAAATAAACTTTTCTGTCTTAAGGGAAAAAGACACACATGTGCCTTGGACATTTTTCCCAGTGGTTAGTGCATTGGCCTAAGGACCAAAGGATTTTGGGTTTCATTCTTAGTCAAGGGCACATGTCTGGGTTGCAGGTTTGATCCCTGGTCCCGTTTCGGGCACATGCGGGAGGCAACCAGTCGATGTGTCTTTCTAACATCAATGTTTCTCTCTCACTCTCTCCCCCTCCTCCTTCACTTCCACTCTCTCTCTAAAGATCAGTGGAAAAAATATCCTCCAGTGAAGATTAAAAAACCAAAAACATACACATGTGACATGGTCTATAATAAAAGCACAGTATGCTAGTTAGACCGGACATCTTTCCAGAAAAAGCTGGGGCTGCGAGGAAAGCCCAGGTCCTGGGTGCCAGCAGCTGGGAAAGGAAGACCTACTCTTGCACAAATTTCATGCAATGGGCCTCTAGTCATTGTATAAATGCTTAGTTATCCAACAGGGGTAATCCCAAACAAAATTTATTACAACAAACCAAGTTCAATTTCCTTCACAATTAAAAAGAATAAGATCAGGGACCAAGTAATAAATACATAACAGATTATTTATGTTCAATTCTTACTAAGAATGATGTCACATTGAATAAGAATCAAAGTAAGAATCAAGTGCAATATTAACTATAAAATTATAAAACAAGTGATATCTAAAATTTTAAAGGCCACATACAATATATATCAATAGACCTAATGATGAAGAAATTAAATCCAACAATTTAAAATATTTACATTAAAATACATTTTTATTTTTACCTCATCGTAGCCAAATAACCATAGTCGTGGTGTCTGATAATATTTATCATACGTAATATAAAGGTCATATGTTCTGGTTTGCAAAATAGCATCTTCACTTCCAGCATCAGTTTTAGCTTTACAAGCTTCTACTATTTTCCTTGTGTCTAGGGTAGCCTGGCAATAATAGAAAAAAATTTACAACTATTAAAATCACTATGAATGTGACATTTTAGAAAATCTATTTTTCTCACCCTATGTATTTATTTTTCAAAAGCAGATGTGACTTAAAACTCAAAATGTTATATGCTTTGAAGAACTTATTTGAAATATCAAGGTATTAATAAAAACACTAATCCCTAACTTTATTCATTAAAAATTAACTAAAAAAAACTCAATTTACAAACCTCATCTGTTTCCAACAATCCACTCTCTTCATATTCTGTTGTAAAAAGCAACAAAAGATTAATTGGTTTCAAAATAATTTTGTAAACCAAATTGTATATTACTTCGGAGTATCAATGAAAAATTGGATTTTGCTTTTGTTTCTGACAATAACGAATAAATATATGAGAGATTATACATATTTCTACAGCAGCAGCAACTTTACCTAGTAGAAAGCCAGACTGGAGAAAAAGTCAGCATATTAAGGCTTGATCTGTGCTATAGTTATTAATACCAACTGGCATAATAAAACTGTAAAGTCTTTAGGGATTCGATAGCATACACAAGGCTATTTATATAAATGCAAAAAAACGTGCTCATTGAAGTCACCAGAGAGTTCTATTTTGCTGAATACAATATAGTCCCGGTTTTCATCTAAATTGACCTCCCTCAGCTTTTAAGATACTCTTTTTTTGAGCTTTGCTCTCACTTTTTTATTTTTCCTTCACTATCTCCTATGCTTGTTCCTCTTCATCATCTGGACCATTTAAAAAACAATACAAAAGAATGCCAGTAAGGAATACTCAATTTTTGGACCTTTTCTATCTACACTTACTCCTTGATGATTTATTTCACTAATCTCAATGGCTTTAAATGTTGATGACTCCCATATTTATTCCATGACTACAGACCTGGATACCTAATTGTTTATCTTATGGCTCAAATGAATGGTTAAGGGACATCACAAACATCACATGTTCAAAACCAAGCTCCGAACTCCCCCTCCAAAGCTATTCAGCCAAGTTTTCCCCATCAGAGTTAATGACATCACTCCAGATGGACAGGTCAAAAACACTTGACTATTCTGTCTTGCTCATGCCACATTCATTCCAGCAGCAAATCCTTCTGCACACCCCTGGGCCCTTAAATATGACCAGAATTCTGTTTCTCATCATTTTCAATGTTTCCACTTGAGTGTTTTGTTTAGATGACCAAACAGCCTCCTGTTATCCTATCCTCCCTTCAGTTTATTCTCAACATGGCAGTCACATTCTGTTAAAATGTTAAATCTCATTCTAAGTCACTCCTCTACTTTGAAAAGCCCCCCACTGGTTTCTCATTTCACTTCTGAGTTAAAGCCAGGGCCCTACATGATCTACCCCCAGGTTACCTCTCTGACTCTCCCCTCACTTCTCTCTGAACACAGGAGCCTCCTCAGAGTATTTATAAGCCAAACATGCTCCTACTTCAGAACCTTTGCACTCCTCCTCAGATATCCAAATAGCTTGTTCACTTACTTCCTACAAGGTTTTACCCAAAAGGCATATTCTCAATGAAATTTTTCTTCATCAACATATTTAAAAATTATAACATTCATCCCACTCTTAAGACACTCTTATTCTCCCCCTTTTTTTTCTCCTTAACACTTTTATGACCATCTAATACATACAGTAAATGATTTGCTTATATATTGTTTTTGTTGTTTATTGCTTTATCTCCAGCATCAAAAAGTATACCAAGACAATAGATAACTCAATAAAAATTTGCTGAATCATGTTAAAATTCAGAACTCAATGACGATTTCTTAATCCACATAAATTACTAATATTCCCAAATCAATATTCTAGTGTAATGAAAGCAAATACCTTCCATATCTGCAGCTTCTTCTTCATCTTCCTCTTCCTCCTCCTCACATAATGCTGAGCAATCTTGGAGTTTTATACTATCCTTAAAAATTAATTATATTTAAAGTCACTTAAATATGTTCATTAGTTCTAATGCCACGCACTCACATGCCAGCACAGTGCTAACCAGTGAAAATAAGAGTGATAAGACAGTTCTTATCCTTAAGAAACTCCTCCAGTGAGATGACAAATGCAAAAATCAATCGTTAAGTCTTGTGCTAAGGGCTGTGAAAAATATAAAAAGCATTATAAAAGCACCATGAATCATCTAAGTTAACCATTTAAAAATAGTTGCCAGTTGTTTTTAGTTAACCAATTCATTATTATTAGAAAATCAACTAAAAGTTATATTAACTTAAACACATAATTTAAAGGACAAAAAGTTATACATTTATAAATCACAATACATTTATATGTCAAATTTATTATTATAAATCAAACAATATATTCTAATTTATGAGCATACTGGCTGAATTAAGCAATTACAACTACTACAACACATAAGATTTCAGTTCAATTAGCACTATAAAAGAATAATGCTAGCCAAAGACAAGCCTATACACTTATCATTTTCACAAATTAATATTCTAAAATTCTGAAGTCAAAAAGTTGGACATCTAGTTTTTACCTAATTTACAATTTCAACTAGTGATGATTTTATTTATCACTGGAAACTTAGATCATATTCCAGTATGCCATTATTACAACAAAAACGTGAAACACAGAAGAAAGTATCTGGGTAATTATTTGGTGAGGCAACATCTGGCAAACTGATCATTAAGGGAAATTTTAATTAATTCACCCCTAATGTCTACCAGGGCCAGACCAAAGGATTTCTCGGCCCTCGGCAGGATGTTCTCCACCCATTATAGTACGCCATAAATATGTTAAGTGGCATAGCAAGTACCATATTAACCACTACTGCGTTTATTAAAAATTCTTGAAAGAATTCCCATAAACCTATCAAAACAATATCATCCAAACTACTCTACCATTTATCATTCCTCAAATCTGAAGCATATACACTAACGGCTGGAGTAAACAAGATGCTCTCTTTTGACGCAGCAAAGCTTTCTCCTTAGTCATTCAAATTCTCCAAAAAGTACAAATTCAAATGAACTGTACCCAAGCAAACATAAAAGTGAATTTCTAGCAAGCATAAAGTTGTGCACTGAAAAAAATTAAATTTGTTTTAGTTTCTAACACTTTCTGTTAAGCCCCAGTTAAAAATCCCAAATGATTCAAATAACAAGAACATGCAAAGAAGAATATCTTAAACGAGTAACTGGTTGAATGTTTCATAAGGAAAAAAGGAGTTCACTTATTCTGTCTATTCTCTCCGAGACTTGATTTAGCAAAAATATACTCATTAGCCGTAAACTAAGAAAAAAATGATAATTAATAAATTGCTTAAGATAATGTTTAAAATAAAAAATTTAAACCATAGCATTACGATCTACTAATTAGCAAGTAAATAAACTACTTCAAAAGTCTCCATTTATAGAACATTTGGTATTTATACTTAAAAATAAAAAGCTATTTCTTTTAAAGTAGCTTAGAAGGCTTTTCAATTAGTAAAAATTAGTTTTTACTAGTTATAATTTCAAAAAATGTTTCTCTTAACCATACAACAGATTAAGGAAAAGAAGAGAAACAATGGGAAATAGTAGTGTTTTGATATGTTAATACACAAAAAGGGGGAGGGGTTAGGACATAAAAGAGCTTGATAATAATCAATTTGAAAAAAATATGAGTAATCTTAATATATATAATATATATATATATATATATATATATTATATATATTAGGTCATTAAATTTGGAAACATATCTAATTAACAAGTACCTTGCTTTCCAGTGTAATCTCCTTAACTGCTTCAGTTATTCCTGTAATACCTGTTTAAAATTGTGCATAAAATATTTAAGTTGTAAACATTTTTCTAATTCAAGCAATATAAAAACACTTAAAATTACTTAAATTCTGACAACTTCTCTAAAGTAAGCCAATATTAGCAACACTTTAATGAATTCTAATAGAAATAAATAATCCCAAAGGTACTTCTCAAATTTTTAAAATAAAAGATATTTTACTATAAATTATCCTATTTTACCATCCCTCATTTACTATTCATTTAATTTGCTTATGAATTGCTATCAAAATACATATTCATTCTCAAAAATATGTAGATTGAGACTATAGGATGCACATTTACATTTTATTGAAACCTGCATTGGAATTTTCTCAACAAGGTATTTGCTTCAGAAATCTAGGACACCCAGAAGTACTAATACTATATCACATTTATAAAGGGCTTTCTGTTTTACTGTTTCCACATCTTATTTAATCCCTACTGTCCTGTGTGCTAATTAGGGTAATAATTTCTCCCTATGAAGAAATAAAGTCTCTAGACAGGTAAAATAACAGCTAGTTAAGTGAGATATTGGAATTCAAATCCACACATTTTGACTTTTGGTTCAAAGCTCTAACCACTGCATCTGATTAAACAATTACCTCAGAACCTATTTGTCTCAGTGAAGGTGGCATTAAGCATATAATGGAACAATAAGTCAGCTAAATAGCATTTCTAATTCAAAATATGTCAGTGTTCTCACTTAAATAGTTCAAAAAGGATGAAAATAGTAAAGAAAAAAACCTGTGGGTACAGCCCAGAGATACTGCTAAACATTCTGTATTATACAGAAAATGCTGCAACAAAGAACTACCTAGCCCAAAACGCTAACAGTGCTAAAGTTGAGAAACCCTGCTCTACTACTACTTTTGATATGTCTCCTATTCTCCAGGGCTTACAGGGAGCAAATTTATTTTTAGTATTCTAGATTTAAACTCAGAACATGCTTTCTTCAGTAAAACTAAGTCATAAATGGTAGTTAGCTATAGCAGCACATAATATGCATTCCCATAGTTAATATAAATATAGTGACAAAGTAAGTTTTTAGGACTTGGAATAAAAAAATCATATTCAGAATTCCAAACAGCTTATGCAAGCAAACACTTATGAATGTCTTAAATTTAGTCAAATCCTTTAACAAAATTTGTTGAATAACTTCTGTGTCAGATACTAGGTAGATATTGAGGATTCAACAATGAATCTATACCTTCATGGTCTTTACAAACCTCTTTGCAGTCATTATAAAAATAATTATTAAATACTTTTAAATGCCAGTGTAAAATAAATATGAGTATGGGTTCCTGTCCTAAAACTCACCATCCATCAATGGAATGACATGCAAATAAGGGATTCAAAGTAAAGTAGTATGCATACTCAGTCTTTCTTTTTATTTATTTATTAATTATAGAGAGGAAAGGAAAGGGAAGGAAGGGGAGGGAGAGAGGAAGAGAGAAACACCATCCACTGCTCCACCCATCTATGCATTCATTGGTTGATTCTTCTATGTGCCCTGATCCAGGATCAAACGCGCAACCTTGGTGTATAAGTATGATTCTCTAACCAAATAAACTATCTGGCCAGGACCGCATACTCGGTATTTTTAATTGGCTTTCTTCCTTTCTTTAGAAATAAAGACAATGATATGGGTATTTTCAAATGAAGTAGCAGTACTATAGAAATATGGTATACTTCAAGAGGAATTTTTTCTAATTTGTCCTCCCTGTTTCTTTTCTGGTAAAAATCTACTGTACCTTTTATGTGCTCTTCTTTATTTTAAATCAAAACTGTTATAAAAGATTATAAAATAGTTTTTAAAAACTCAAATCATATAATTTTTCATTCTATTTGCCTCTTACCTGTGTTATGATAAGTATCTACCCATCCTCCATCACCATCATCCTCTTCAATGATAGCTTCCAATTCATCTGAATATTCCATCTGCTTGCACCGCTTGTAACATGGCACTATAAAAAATGGCAAATACATTTAGAAGCACATACTCTGCTTCCTATAAATCCATTTTTAAAAATATAAAGTTTAAACCATAAAATACATTTTGTCACCAAAATATTAAGAGAATATTGCAGTTCTCCTTATGAAAATGATTAGAGTTATAGTCTCCCTACAGACACATAATTTGACCGCATTTATCTCTCCCTAAGTAGCTTTTGTTAATCCTCACCTGAAGATACTTTTTTCATTGATTTTTATACAGTGGAAAGAAGGGAGGGGGGAGGGGGGGGGGGAGAGAGAGAGAGAGAGAGAGAGAGAGAGAGAGAGAGAGAGAGAGAGAGAGAGAGAGAGAGAGAAACCAATATGAAAGAGACACATCAATTGGTTGCCTCTGGCACGCATCCGTGACTGGGGCCAGGAACAAATCTGCAACCTAGGTACATATCATTGACCAGAAATCAAACTCAAGACCCTTCGGTGCTCAGGCTGACACTTTATCACTGAGCCACATCAGCCAGGGCTAAATAGCTTATTTTTATAAGACAAGTAGAAAGGCTCTACTGAGGGTGTTCTATAAATTCTTTACCCTAATGGTCTGTGGAAACTGCAAACTGTGAAATCAGAGATGATATTATTCAACATAAGGCTAATGAATAATAACTAAGTTAATAGTTTTACTCTCAGAACATGAAGGCACCACCTGTCATTCTCAGAGGTGGTAGAGGTGACCTCCAGCATTCATAATGAGCAAACTAGTATAAATTCACTGCTAAATGTTACTCTATTGTACAATATGGCATTGAGTTTCTGATATGTCAAATGTTTCAATTAACAGGTATTATTATACATATATGCCTAAAATTAAATAATTATAAAGCAAAAACATGATGGTCAACAAATTGCTATTAATACCCTGATTTTTTTTTAAACAAGCAGTATATAAATTATTAATTCTAATAAAAATATACTGTAGGAAAGAAGAAACATATTTTATATATATTTTGCCCTTCCTATGAGTGAATTAGAATGAGAATCATTCTAATATATTCTCATTCTAATTTACTCTTAGGAAGGGCAAAATATGTACCTATAGGCAAAATATGACATTATTTTCAATGACATTATGAATAATAAATTTTCTAACTTTGAGCTTTTAGATATCCAAGGTAGTATCAATTTCATCTTCTATAAAAAATTTAAATCTAAAGAGGATCAAAGTTAAACAGCTAAAATATTGTGAAATAAACCTAAAAAAAATCTAATTAGAAGTCCAATTCTGACTAGGGCACTTTTCCTCTATATCTTAAAACTAGATATTTTGGGTAAAAAAAATAAAAAAGATAAAAATCAGATAAGGAAAAAAATACCTCAGTAATAGAAAACCCAGAGCTTCATCCAATTTCCAAATTTGTCTGAAAGCAGCTGTACATACAGCTTTGAGCACAAATTTAAGATCATAAGGTGTTTTTTAAAAATATATAACTGCAAAATTTACTAATAAATGCAACATAATTCTTACCATTTTTGGTGACCAAAAATTGTTTGCCTGTTGGTAGGTATGCCTTTACTTTCAATTCTTCCCCAGAAGCCCTTTAAAAATGGTGAGAAGCAACAAAATACAAAATAAAACAAAAATTTAAAGGCAGAGACAGAACAGAAGATATCACATGTAAATCTCAAAACTATACAATCCACACACCTGAAAAAACTGTTTTAGGAAGAACATCATTAAAGTGATATACATCAGAGCATCAAAGAACATAGTACTATTATAAGTTAAACTGGAGGCCCGATGCACGAAGATTCGTGCCAGAATGGTCCTTCCTTCCCCTGGCTGTGGGCACCGCCTTCGCTCCGGCCCGGAGCCACCGTTCTGCCTTCCCACACTGCCCAGAGGCCCAGAGCGGCTGGGGGCAGTGCAGAACGCCCCTGGCCACTCGGCCCAGGTCTGCCAATTAACCTGCTATCTTTGTTGAGTTAGTTTGCATACTCACTCCTAACTGGCTGGTGGGCACCACGAAGGTATGATCAAATTGCATCTTACTCTTTTATTAGTGTAGATGTACTAAGAGATACAAACAACAGACCTAAGAGAATTTGGATTAAATATTAGATAAAAAAGTACAATAGAATGACTATTATGTTTCCCTCTGAATAAAAAGAAAATGATGTTTTAGTGAGTATAATCACATTCAGATTTTTAATCCTAAAGTACTGCTCACCTTGAGACCAAGAGGCTGAAAAATAGTTGCATGGCATTATATAACAAAGTAGGTAGTTAGCAAAATCTCTGTTCCTGCCACACTATTAAAATTGGAACTAAAATATGAAAGATACATTGAACCACTGAAAACAAAAAAACTTGTTCTGAGTGCTTAATATTAGAGGCCCGGTGCTCAAAATTCATGCAGGGGGGTGAGAGTGTGTGTGCACCTCAGCTGAGCCTGCACCCTCTCCAATCTGGGATCCCTCTCACAATCCAGGACTGCTGGCTCCCAACTGCTCGCCTGACTGCCTTCCTGATTGCCCCTAATTACTTATGGCTGCCAGCCTGATCACCCCCTAACCACGCCCCTGCCAACTTGATTTATGCCTAACTGCTCCTCTGACAGCCTGGTCCCCCCCCTCAACTGCTCTCCCCTCCAGGCCTGCCCCCCCTCCCCCAACTGCCCTTCCCTGCAGGCCCCGTCACCCCCAACTGCCCTCTCTTATGGGCCTGGTTCCTAACTGCCCTCCCCTGCTGGCCATTTTGTGGAAGCCATCTTGCATTTATGTGGGGTCAGCCATCTTTGACCACATGGGGGCAGCAATCTTGTGTGTTGGATGGTCAATTTCATATAGCTCTTTTATTAGATAGAATAGAGGCCTGGTACATTGGTGGGGGCCAGCTGTTTTCCCCTAAAGGGTGTCCTGAATCAGGGTGGGGTTTTTTGGGGGCGTGGGGTGGCCTGGGTGACGGGCCTGTGGTGGTTTGCAGACTGGCCACACCCCCCAGGGACCCAAGCGGAGGCCTTGGTATCTGGGATTTATTTATCTTCTATAATTGAAACTTTGTAGCCTTGAGCGGAGCCAAACCTCATGCTTGCTCTGTGGTCACAGCCATTTTTGTTGATATATTTATCTTCTATAATTGAAACTTTATACCTTGAGTGGAGGCCTAGGCTGGCCAAGGTGTAGGAAAGCTTGGCTTCCTCCATCACTGGGGGCAACTCAAGCTTCCTGCTCTCTCCAGCTCCGTGGCTGCTGCCATTTTTGTTGGGATTTACCTTCTATAATTATAACTTTGTAGCCTTAAGCAGAGGCCAAGGCAAGCCAGGGCAGGCGGAAAGCTTGGCTTCCTCCATTACCGGGCAAACCTAAGCCTCCTGCTTGTTCTGTGGCCACAACCATCTTGGTTGGGTTAATTTGCATACTTGCTCCTGATTGGTTGGTTGGCATGGCACATGGGTGTAGCAGAGGTACAGCAATTTGCATATTATTTTTTTATTAGGATAGTATTTAGAACTCTAACATACATATTTTTTATATTCACCCAAATATGTTTTTATTGATTTGAGAGAAAGAAAGAGTAAGAGAGAGAAACATCCATGTGCAAGATAATCGACTGTTTGCCTAACATATGCAGCCTGACTGGGATTTGAACCTGCAACCTAGGCATGTGTTCTGACTGGGAATCAAACCTGCAACCTTTTGGTATAAGGGACAATACTGCAATCAAATGAGCCACCCAGCCAAGGCTAACATGAATTATTTTTATTTAATCCTCAGGACCCTAAGAGGTGGGTACCCTTATGTCCCCTTTTTATAGGTAAGTAAACAAGAGCTTAAAGAAGATTTTCCAGTTACAAAACCAGAAAGTGGAAGAGTCAAGTGAGTCTAAGGCTCCTGCTTCTAAACACTATGCCCTCTGTGGGTCATTTCTGATTTTTCAGTGCTACTCTCTGGAATATCTCATTAAGAATTTGCTCAAAGAATCTCCTGAGGGTCAAAGAATCTTTTACTGGAATTGGCCAGAGCTGTGATAGTATATGATGTCTATCACAATCACATGAGCATAAACTTGGAGTATGCTGTGTTCTTTCTCAAGCTTCAGTCTACAGCTAAAACCATCTATTTAAGCACAAAATAAAGCTAGGTAGCTATGTAGGCATCCTTGGACCTTTCCTAAAAGTCAAATTCAACAATGCCAAGACACTGCCTGAAGTTCTGAGAGAAGATGATATAATAAAGTCATGATGACACCTACAGACATGAAAGTATACATAGCACGAAAATATTGTTTCAAACAGTGATTTAAAATAACTTGTTCCTTTGGCCTCAGGAGTTCAGCTGGAAGTGGGGGCACTGGAGTGGGGTAAAATTAAGTTCTAAGTTAAAATGAAATTATTTCAATCACTGCAATTCATAATGTATAACTATATACCACCATCAGCTAAAGAAGATCCTGTACATATATATAGTCCCTATAATAAAACTAAATATCACATGTCTAAATTAGATAATTAAAGATTATAATAAAGAAACCTGAAAAAGAAAATGTGTTATATTGAAGATCCTAAATTAATTATGTTCATAAAATGAGTATTACTTAAAACTTTATACACTTATTTGACTTTTTAAAATACATAAAATATAGACCAGACCTAGGTAAATATAGTTTTAACTTACAATTTAACATTGGGGGGGGGAGGGGGGGGAAGTCAACCAAACTTACTAAATCAGAGATTCTGATATTAACTCAGTTTTAAATATGGAACAGAAATACATATAGGAAAGACAAGGACATAAAAATAAATCTGACACTTTGGCCTTGATACTTAAATAATGCTGTAAAAGATAAAGAGCAATCTATACATATAAAAGTGTAATATGCAGACTGACTGGACAGTGGAACGACTGGTTGGCTATGATGTGCACTGAGCACCAGGGGGCAGACACTCAATACAGGAGCTGCCCTCAGCCCACAGGCTCCGGACACAGGTGAAGGGGGGTGGGGCTGCCAACTTCTTGGCCCTCCTTCCCCCCAACCCAGTTGACAGGCTCTGATTGCCTGATGGGTAACTGGGAACCTGGGATGGGTGGTGGAGGACATGGGAGGTGCCGGGGCCCGATCACAGAGAGTGACCTGCAGCAGTGGTAGCTGGGGTTGGGGCCGGCTGCCGGGGAAGATCGGCCCAATCACAGGCCAGGCCTAGGGACTCTACCCTTGCAAATTAGTTGATAATAAGCAGTAACAACTGTGTGAGGTATGTCTTAAATATGAAAATTAAGGGGAAGAGAAGAGTAAATTCTTTAAGCTCTTTAGATATTAAGGAAAATTTATCAATTAGAACCTGGTTAGTTCTAGAAACACTTCTCCCAAATCAAAACTATGCCTTTCAACTATAATTGAAAAAGTATCATTGAATGAAAAAAGGGCTATTAATAAGTTAACAACTTGTAAATAATAATTGCAAATATTTCTAGAACAATTATATAGCTCTGCCAGTATTAAGATCACTTTTCCAGGAACTGTCTGTCTGGTGGTTTTACCAGGAGTACTTAAAAGTAATAAAACTGCATTTTTTAAAACACATTCTGCTATTATTCAGAATATTTAAAATACATTATATGAGGTCAGCTAAGTTGATTAAACTACTTTTATAAAGAGAAAAGTTATTAAGAAAATAAAACATTATAAAAGTCTATTACCAGATTTTCAATAAAGACATTAGTCTATATGAAAGTTTTAAACTTTTGAGTTAATTCCTAAAACCGGAGCATACTTTTGAACTTTAATAAAAGGTCAGATGGTTAAAGAACTTAAGACAGCAAAATCTCTGCATTAATGAATGTTATAGAAATATGCAATACCCATTAATATGAAAAAAATGAGCTGATCGAATTTATAATCTCTTGAACATGATTTTTTAAAAGCACTATGAAGAAATGGGATCCTAGTGAAGGAATTATCTCAAAAATACCCATCTTTTGTGTTAACAGAGCAAAACAAAACAGGGGTAATACCCAATTTTTCTTCCTTTACTTTCAAATCATGGGGAACCATTTAATAAAAAAATCTATTAAAGAGGACCAGAATGGTTATTCCAATTTTCATGTCCTAACCAATTTTTCAAACTGCCATAGTTATGAAGTCATACCTTTATTAATTTTATATTTTTCACCCAAGTTTACTTACCATTGCCATGTTGGACAGTGGTGAACTAAGTGATCTCCAGCTGCCACAAACTATTAAGGATTTAGAAGGAATATGAAAAAAGAGAAAAAGAAAAATTGAACATTACTGAATGTAAGTTGGCAAAATACCAAAGTGTTCATCACTGTATTCTTGATACCCAATAATCAATTTTAAATACAAACAGCACCAAATCTGCTCTACCAGCCTCAAGATATTTTATTATTAAAACTGAAAAATTTTTAGCATCCATAAGTTTAATTTTGGAACAAAAAAAACAAAACACTGAATGCTATTATTTTAATCTGTTCCTATCACTGGATTAAATGTCAAAGGAATACATATCATGAAATGTATAAAATTGACATAGGGTTCAAAATGTCAAAAATCATTTTATAGAGAAATAAAATGTAGAGAGATTCTTCCTAGTGGCTGAAAAGTCAAAGAAGATCTTGAAAAAATTTGTTATCGGGTCTAGTAATAATTAATGTCGTTTTAAACATTCGTTTAAAATCTTGCTTGGCATTGACTTGTATTGACATAACCTTCAAACACGTGGTATCTACAGAACGTGTGAAGTGCAATTAACAAGTTTTGCTTGAAAAAGTTTGTTTGGTTTGGTTTTTGTTGCAAAACTAGGGCTAAGAAGATGGCACATGAAGAGCATATTTGGCACTGCATGCTTTACGAGTTCCAATTAGGAAGAAAAACAAGTGAGGCTGCAAAAAAACATCTGTAGTGCTCTTGGTCAAGATGCAGTTAGCGCCAGAAAATGCCAGCATTGGTTTGAGAAATTTCACGAGGGAAATTTTTCGTTAGATGACAAGAGTGGTCGAGGCTGTGTGTCCAATTTTGATCAAGAAGCTCTTCAAGCTCTTTTGGTGCAAAATCCTCAAATTACCCAACAAGAGCTTGCGACAACTTTAAATTGTTCACAAAAACCAATTTCCAATCAATTGCGTGCACTTGGCAAAGTCCAAAAGTTTGGAAAATGGGTTCCTCATGAGTTGACCGACAACAACTGTAATCGAAGAGTCACAATTTGCAATTCGCTCCTCTCTCGTCAAAACCGTTTGCTGTTTTTAGAGCAAATTGTTACCGGAGATGAAGAATGGGTTCTGTATGTTAATTTGAAAAGGCGGCCTCAATGGTTGGACAAAAATGAGGCTCTGCAGCCCACGCCAAAACCTGACTTGCATGCGAAAAAAGTGATGTGTGTTTGGTGGAGTTTTAAAGGAATTCTTCATTATGAACTTTTACCATCTAACCAAACCATTACAAGTGCAGTGTATAGTGCCCAATTGGAAAGGTTAGCCCAAGCTTTAAGAGAAAAAGAACCCATGCTGATTAATCGGAAGGGCGTAATTCTTCACCACGATAACGCACGACCGCATACTGCAAGAATCACTGCTGAAAAGCTGTGCCAGTTGGAATAGCAAGTTCTCCCTCAACCTGCATATTCTCCTGATATTGCCCCTTCCGATTACCATTTGTTTCGTTCTTTGCAAAACTTTCTTCTTGGAAAAAAATTTAATAATGAAGAATGCCTCAAAAATGCATTGACCGAATTTTTTGCATCAAAATCACAAGAATTTTACAACAGAGGGATTAAAATGCTTCCTGAGCGTTGGGCACAAGTAGTAGAAAACAGCGGCAACTATATTGTTGATTAAATTTTGTTGTATTGTTTAAATAAATTCGATTTAAAAAAAAAATATTAGAAAACGACATTAATTATTACTAGACCTAATAAATAGACACGTGTGATGCAAGAATAGTTTTTACATTTCTCTCACTCTCTCTCTCTCTCTCTCTCTCTCTCTCTCTTTCTCTCTCTCTCCTCTCTCCTCTCTCCTCTCTCTCTCCTTTTCTTAAGGTAACAACCAATTTTGAAAGCTTTTTCACAGTCTTAAAGGAATATTAACAAGAGTGCCAAATAATGAGGGAATGTTAGAAGCTTTTGGACTGACTTAGAAAACATCGGAACAATTAAGAAACTGAATTCTCTAACAAACTTTGGACTTTCTGGGCAGATTGAACATTGAACGAGGTTTGTTTATTGTTTCTTTTCCCCCCCCCAAAAAAAATAAAAACCAGACTCAGAAATAAGTAGTTTAATCTTTTGAGAATTTCTATTATACATGAACTGCTCTTGCTACAAGATAGAAATCTTATTTTTTAAAGCAGAAAATGAAAGTCTGTTAAGCATAATTGCAGTGCCCCAACTCAAACAATATGCACACATACTTTCCCAATTACTATTTCACAACAACTCTAACTTAAAATCATTTATTTTTCATGGGTTTATTACATAGCAACAAATTGCAATGTCTTTAATTTTCTAATGTCTTTCTGAGAAAAGTTAGTCTGTATATAATACTCTATTTTATTTGAGAGAGTAAAGCTCTATAAACTAAGCATTCTGAGAGTAATTTTCCAAGAAGACATAACAATAAGATTTAGCATTATATTACCAACACCAACTGTTTATCTTCTTTTATTTCAAGAATCCTTTTTATTAGTTAAACTGATTAAGGAAAGACAAAAAACCCAAATGAAAACAATACTCTCTTCCCTAGGTTTTCAGCATTTTGGGTTATTTCGACCAGATGCTGCATTTAACACTGTAGCTATTAGAAACTAATTTAGCACCATCAAAAGAGTATTAATTTAACAAAATGCAAGCAAAACAAAGACTTAAAAATTTTAAAAACTTCTTTAATGATACTGCCTTTATGTCATAAGATTCTAATATTTTATTCTATGGTAACTCCAGTAGTATTTATCAAAAAAATAACATAAATACTAGAAGGTAAGGAAAACTATAAAAGAACAGAGAATTGTACTGATAATTAATACATATGTACATCTGCCCTCACTAGCAATGGCCATTATTAAATGTTTCATATGTTCAAGTGAAATAAAATTAAGACAAAAACCCAAACTTCTAAATTTTCAACATTTTCTCCAGTAGCTTTCTTAGTGACTAAATATTATATAACACTGAATAACTCCCAACAAGACTGAATCAATATTAACATTTTGTTGAGCAACTTTATTTTCGAAGCTGTTCTTTATTACTATATTCAATCAAGTCATACAGACATTGTACATTAAAGTATTTTTAATAAAACAATACTATTTTGGATAATGCTGACCCTCTTTTAAACACAAGACTTCCACACCTCTCAATGAAAACAAAAAGACATCTGGAGGCTGACAGCCAGAAGCCTAGAAATAGTAAGAGAAAACAAAAACCTCAGTATAGTATTTATCTAAAACAAATTATGTCTTCTCATTTATTTTTCTTTATAAAAAAAAATATATTTTATTGATTTTTTAAAGAGAGGAAGAGAGAGAGAGACAGAGAGCTAGAAACGTCAATGAGAGAGAAACCGACCAGCTGCCCCATGCACACCCCCTACCAGGGATGTGCCTGCAACCAACGTACATGCCTTGACCGGAATTGAACCTGGGACCCTTCAGTCCAAAGACCGATGATCTACCGCTGAGCCAAACCAGTTTCGGCTGTCTTCACATTTTTCTTCTCCAGAGTCATTCTAATTTAACTTAACCCTATAATTGTGCTCTATCCCAATTCAGCATTATGTGGTTGGGACCCAGCTGGGCTAGTTATGCTTTGTATTTTTTTTTAAAAAGGGAAAACTTACTGGGTGTACCGGTCAATAATGCAGATTTTTTTCAATAAGATGGAGTTATACATATGTTGATATATAGGCGATTTGCTATGTTTGCTATTTTGTTGTATTGACAACAATCTTCAAAACTTCATATGTCAAATTTGCTGAAGGTGTTAACATCATAGATATTTTTACACTTAGAAATGTCGAATTTTGTGCCAAAAAAAGAGTATTTGCGGGAAGTTATTATTCATTACTTTATTTTGAAGAAAATTGCTGCTGAATACTTTGGGAAGCTTATGGTGAACATGCTCCATCTCAAGATACTTGTGAATGCTGGTTTAAACGTTTTAAAAGTTATGATTTCAATGTGAAAGACAAAAGAAACATCCAGGTCAACTGAAAAAGTTTGAAGACCAATAATTACAAGCATTATTGGGTAAAGATGCGTGTCAAACTTAAAAACAACTTGCAGAAAAATTATGAGCTTGTGAAACCATTATACTGATCACTACCAACAACAAATAATCAATTTGAACCATGACCAGAATGTTCCATAAGACATGGCAAAGTAATTTTGCTTCATGATGACACACCATTACACACTTCAAAACCAGTAAAGACACATTAAAAGATCTTGCCTGGGAAGTATTATCCCACGCGCTATATTCATCAGACCTTGCTCCTTCACATTACCACTTGTTCTGATCGATGGCTCACGAACTTTCTGAGCATCACTTCTAAACATACAAAGAAGTGGAAAATTGGGTGTCTGAATGGTTTGCCTCAAAACAAGAAAAGTTCTATTGGGATGGTATCCACAAGTTACCTGAAAGATGAGGAAATGTGTAGCTAGCATGGACATTTCTTTGAATAAAGTACTTCTGATGTTTCTCTTGAAATTATTGTGCTTTCTTTGATTACAAAATCCGCTATTATTAACCAGTACATCTAGTATTACCCACTTCATGATACAACTAAGTGTAAAAGTTATTCAATTTAGGATTAGTAGCTATTTTAAAATAGCTTAACTCTATCTAATAACTAATGATATGGATCTCTAACTCATCTATTTAGTAAGTAGTCATCTTCACATAGAGGAGATAAAACCAAAGAGTGCAAAAAGAACCGTATACATTCATCTCTGCTCTTGACTTCAAATACTTAGTTTCAAGAGTCTTGTCTACATTACACCTTTGTTGGACAAGAACATTAAGATCTTTAACATCAAAACTTAATTTTATTTGGCATTCAAGATATTGAACTCATGATGCCTAAGGTAGAATGGATCCATCAGAAAATTTCTAACCATGACCCCTCATTTTATAAATAAGGAAACACGAGCCCTGTGCCTGGTTAGCTTAATTGATTTGTCCGAGTCAGAATAGGAGAAACTGGTCTGGAAGGCAGATCTTCTAGTTTCTTTCCACACCACTATGTGACTTCACTAAAAATAAAGACAATTTTAGGTAAAAGATCCTTATTCTTAGACCTCAAAAGGATTTGGCACTGAAGAAATTCCATCCCAATTGAAAACTGAAAGATCAGTTAATTCTCTAGCTTGAGGTCTTGCAATTTTCAGCAATAGCCAATCATAAAACAAGGTCTACTTCAAAAAGTTTCTCTCAAAACAATGATTAAGTTCTATTGTCAATTAGTGGTACTTTTAATGAGAGTTAAAAATGAAGCTTAATAAATTCTTTGCCATTTATTATGATTAAAAAAATAAGTCTGATGCAATCATAACCATTCATAAAACTGGAGTCTAAAAGGACTTTTACGTTAGTATTCATTCCGCTAAGGATGACAAAATAACTGCCTAAAGGAAAGAGAATACTTTTATTATATAGATTTGGTGAGCACGTAAAATGACTCCTTTGAACATAATTCTTTATTAAAAGTTCAATAAAACTCCACAGGCCTCTAAAACAGCCATCAGTTTCAGCATTAAGCAGAGTTAATATTACTTGGTTGGAAGAAAAAGTGAAAAAATGTGAGAAAAAAATCCTCATTAAATATGTAGAAATAAAATGTTTAAGCTAAATACTGAGAGAAAACTTAATATCCAAGCAATGAAGCAAAGTTTCCAAATGGAAAGTCATGAAAAACTCATGTATGGTTAGACAAAAGCATGACAACAAAGGCCACAGAGTCCACTGCTCAATACAGCACAAATATGAGTGAAGGGTAAGTGACGATAGGAATATTTTCCGTTTCCTCTTCCATCCCCACTTCCAAATAAAGAGGAACCACTAAGAAATATGAGAAGTGGCAAATCAAGAGGGAAGTTGCATCTTCTATGGGAAGCAGAAAGACCTATAAAATTGCTAATACAGTCAACAGAATCTACTTTTACTCAAATCTAAATTAAAGTTAAATATCTTTTTTCTTAATAGTAAAAAAGCCACCCAATTTAATATAATTGTAAAATATCATAGCTTCAGAATATCTTCAACACTCACCTCTTCTGGGGTAATAACACCTGTTTCCTTAAACTTTGATTCCTAAAGTGAGCAAAAAGAATAACAGTATTATACAACTTTCACTTTCAAATTAAAAATGTTTTTGGTACAACTGTTTGGAGCACTTACAAAAAAGGAACATAGCACTGGTACCTAACTTCAAGGAATATATATGTCTAGTGGAGAAAACTGACATGAAAAAATTTCAAAACAACAATTTGGGGAAATCACAAATATCTTTATTTTACGGAACAGTAAAAATGTCTTAAAGATGTTTAAACATCCCACAATTCAGCCAACATTTCATTTAAATGGCATAATATTAGAAACCAAACCTATAAGTTGTAAAGTCATTTAACACTTTCCCATTATTTTCATCTCCAAGGTACTAATGCAATAGTCTCTTCGTTAAAGCAAGGATGTTATCTACCAAATATTTCTAAGTTTGTAAGTTATATGTAAGACTTTGTGGTAGAGTCTGAAGCAATGCAAAGATTCATTTATGAACATTATTCATTCAGCAAATATTAACTGAATAACTATGTGCACTATTTGAGTTAATGGGGGTATAGGAGTAAATAAAATAGAGCAAACTCATCTTTGTCCTCATAAGAACTTTACACTCTCTGGTGGAGAGACAAAAGCCAAATGGTAATGAATACCATGAAGAAAAATGAGGCAGAGGGGAAAATAGGCTGGTCCAGGGTGTACGGAGAGGTCAGAGATGGTCAGCGAACAAAGAATTCACTGATAGGTAACTTCTGAGCGGAGACCTTAGGAAAGGAACCAGCCACAAGGCTGTCTGTCTGGGTGAAGAGTGTTTGAGGCAGAGGGAAGGGCAAATGCAAAACCTGAGGCAAGAGAGTGCTTGATGGAGTAACAAAAAATGGGTCAGACTGGCCTAAGCAAAAGTGAGCAAAGGATAGAATAGGTAAGTCCATAGGGGCCTTCTACCAAAAGGCTTAAAGACCACTGTAAAAACTTTGGCTTTTACTGTACTAATGTCTTTCTAACCATGGTTTTTCTTCATTTTTACCTATTAGGAAAAATAATTCTTTCTTTCCCAGGGATTTAGTTTTTTTGTTTTGTTTTTTTTCCTTGCTTTCCTATGTCTGGTAGGAAACTATAAAGTATGTTCTCTGTAAACCAACAAGTTTGCACAGGGAGGGGCAAATTTATTTTTAGTATTAAAGAAATTCAGCTTTCTTTATTAAAAATACATACTGACAAGCTAACACTTCCTTAACAGTTTGGGGAACAAGTAAAATTATTTCCTAAAACATAATTCTATTATAAGATCAATAAAATACAACTACCCAACAAAATAGCAGTTTTATATTTAATTTAGAAGGTCTTTTTCTTTTACTCCTCTCTCCCTGAAACTAAAAAGTTATAACAATCATGTATTATTTAAATGCTTTATACCTAGGTCCTAGGTAGACAGATTTCTGGAAAAATGACATAATATGCAAAATAATCATGATTCAACTGTCAAGATGGTTTTCAAATTCAAATTAGCTGAAAAATCTCAAGTAAGATGGGTTTCACAGTAAACAAATATGAGCATAGCAGGAGTTGAAATTCTCATTTTTAAACTTTTCTGACTTTTTCTTTAACTTGGTCTAAGTATTATTTTAAAATCAGTCTCAGAAATAAATGTAAAAAGAATACAGAACTAACATTTCCCTTTGCCCTGGGAAAGGAGCAAAGTAAAGCTGTCCACTATTCTCCTTAGTGTACCAGAATAGCTTCCTGAATAAAGAGAACCATTTCCATGGATACTTCGTCTCCACACCAAGATTAGTAAAATTTTAGTTGAAAGCTTAAAAAAAAAATTAAACAAGAACTCCCCATTCAACCACTATAATTGCTCTTTTCAGAAAGGAAAAATAAAGTTGCAATAACAAACTTTACTCTGAAATAATTATAAAGACCTGAATACACTTCTAGAAATTTACCTTTGAAAGTAAGAAAACCGTCCAGTCTCTCCTGTAATAATAGCTAATGTGTCACAATTTTCACTTTAAAAAAGATGCCTTGCCAATGTAAAAGTCAGTTATATATCTAGGAGGGGCAACGCTGCTCCTTACCATCCCAGATGCCCCAGATGAACCACCAGTTTCAGCTACTTTTAAAAACTTGGGGAAGGGAGGGCTTGCCTGTCAGCTGGGTTCAATGGTGTTGCTGATGCTGCAAATTCCCCTTGTCCCTCTGGAATCTAACAGGTTGGGTCCTCAACCACCTCTGGTTATGTCAAACGCTTAATTACACAATAGAGAGGAAAAGTGACATGTGTCATTTTAGGACCAAGCATAGATATCTTTTTTTTTCTTTCTTTCTTTTTGAAGAGAAGCAAAATCTTTGTTTAAAAAGTTCAAAGGACTACCGCCGCTGGGTTTAACGCTCTTAGAGGTACTTGGCTTCGGACCACCTCGCAGCCCGACGGACCCCGGCGCGCTGAGAAGGGAGACCGGACTGTGCCCAGGGCGTCGCTCCAAGTTTACTCGGGGAGCCGGGAAGCCCTAGGAAACAGCTGCGGGGACCACGGGGGGAGAGAGGCACCTTTCCCGGTGTCCCCCCTCCCCACTCCTTCCCCGGGCCCGGTCCTCGGCGCCCGCGGAGTGGAGCGAGTGCCTGGCAGACAGTCCCCGCACCGCTTACCTTGAGGACCGGGGTCAGGTACTCAGCCACCTCCAGTGCCTTTCCCTTCACCGTGTTAATCACATTCTGCATCCTGGGGCCGGGGGAGCGGCCGGCCCCGCCACGGGGTGGGGAGGGCAGCCGGGCGGGAACCAGGAGTCAGAAAATGTCCCCGCGGCCACCGACGTGCACAGGCACGCGGCCGACGGCGGCACCCGAGGGGACGGGACGCGACGGGGCGGACGGGGCGCGGGGGAGGGGCGGCCGGCGCCGCGCGCGCGGACGGGGCGCGCGCTCCCGCGCCCCAGGCAGCAGCGAGTGGCCTCGAGGGCGGGCGGCAGGGCCCAGGGGTGTGTTGGGGGGGGGTGGGAGGGGGAAGCAAAAGAGCGGGCGCACGCGCACCCCTGCCCTCAGGAACTCTCGTCTTCTCTCGGCTTCATTAGCGCCTCTTCCGGCTTCCCCTACCTTTCCTCCCTCTCTCGCCGTAGCTCCGCCCCGACCCGGGCCTCACGTGACGCAGGCCTCTCGGGACACGTGACGCGAGAAAGGCGGCGCTCAGGCGGAACCGGGTCGCGTCCCCCCGCCCTCCGGAAGCGTAACATGGAGCGCGCCTGCGCAATGGGCGCCAGGTCCTCGCGCGCGCTCTCTATCTCCCCGTCGGGTCCTTTATTGTGCTTTTTGTTTCGTAATAGGAGGTTCTGGGGCGGAGGCTTTTTCGCCTTTCTTTCCCTCCCTTAGGTTCCCTGCATATGGATCCTAAAAGCTGCTGCTGCTGCTGCTGCTGAGCTGGGTCAGCTTTAGGATGTGAGCTCTTCCCCTGGAAGCTCTTCGAGGGAGGAACTGAGGTGACAGGCCAAGCAGTGCGCGTGCGGACGAGGGGTGGGCGCGGCCGGAGAGATCCCTACTGCGCAGGTGTGGCGAGAAGTCTTCCGAGCCCTGCAGGAAAATCTGCTGTCCTGTAGTGGGAGAGGTGTCTGTCTGTCTGGCCTCCGTACTTTGCCCAGTCGAGCTGTCACTGATGGCGTTTCAAACCCATAGATCCCCAATCCCCCAGTGCGCTACCCCTACACGGGGAGGCTTTGTCCAAGTACCTGGCCTGGCGTTTAGTGTCAACATATGAAAGTGGAACCAGATAACCAAGGGGTCCATTCTGCCCGTCCTTAAGCAGAGATAGGATTGAATCATAGATGAGCGTTGTGTGTTTTTTGAGGGTGTGGTTTTTTTGTTTTTGTTTTTGTTTCTAATAATGCTGGCAGTATGGGAGAGTAGCAGGTCTTCCACAAAAATTTGCTTCGTCCCTCCACATAAGCCAGCTGCTTATATTGGGCAGCAGGGCAAAGATTAGGTGGGAAAGTAAGAAGTAACAGGCATGGGAAAGTGGGCAAGGTATTGTGGTTACACACTGCAGGCAGTAGGGCTGGGGGTTGCAAACGACAGGTGCCTTGGGGACTAGATTGTTTCAGCCAAGAGGTTGTCAGTCTTTCCAGAATGATAGGCAGATCTTAGAAAAGGAGGATGAACTGCATTCCCATGTTCGCTCCCATGTCCCAGGGAGCACCACTCTCAGCCAGGCTAGACTGTGTTTCTCTAAGAGCAGAACCATCTCGGTTAACAGCATGATTAATATTTCTTATAATTGTAGCTAATCCCCAGTATTCTATTTCTGCCCTTAAAAAAAAGGAGGGCCAGAGTGGCATTGATTTCTTAAGTTTCTTCTTACTTCCATAATGAGTTCAATATATAAGTCACAGTAGTGTAATGAAATCTTTCCAAGAAAGCTCTTTTTCCTCCTAAGGAAGAGCTGCAACAGAGGGGAGAAATATAAATCTGAAATTCTCCTCTTCTAGAGCAAAGTTACTAATAAAAATGAAAGTTAAAGAATTGCTTTTCTGTAGAATTCTGTAGTCTTCAAGTGTCAGTTACTCGCTTGCTGCCTTTGGCAGCACATCTAATGTGGTTCTTGCGTTTTCTGTCTCTAGAGTTCCCCTCTATCAAATTTTTATTGTTTTCATTTGCTTTCTCCATAGTTTCTCTTGTACACTTCAACTTTCTTCTTTTGATAATAGCCATAGCCAGCAGGGTTACCCATGAAAATTTATTTTCTGTTTGTCACTCTTCAATGGTATTTGCATTATCCTTAATCTGCCAGTTGGATTGCTCATGAATTTATTCTTCTTTTAAAGGCAATTAGAAAACAGTGAAATGGAAAGCAAGTGCTGTGGTCATCCCAAGTTAAGCTCCTTGTCAACAATGTATACATTCTTTCTAGGGGCCATATTTATTGCTTTAAGCTCAAGTCGCATCCTACTGGTAAAATATTCAGCCAATGAAGGTAAGTTAAGATTTGTAATATGGGACACTTACACTGTTCCATAATACGCATTCTTCTGTTTTTTGTTTTCTTGTGGGTAAAATGGGGATAATACCCTTTCAAGTATGCTGCTTCATGTGAATGATGAAGAGTGTTTAAGTTGATTTTTTAACCTTTATTTTTTTAGCAAGAAACATTTTTTATGCTTAGTGAAGTTTGTGTCAGTTAAGTACAGGATCCAACCCTTACAGAACATACAATAACATTGCTTTAATCAACCAGTACATCTGGGCCTGTAGCAATATGAGGATATATTTGTTTGGTCACTTGGCATTTTTGATGTACCATCTTAGTTACTGCATCAATGTAACAATACAGATAATTAGCTCTGATAAATATGTTTCAAGAAATCTATTTTTTAATGTAATAATTTGTGTTTAAACTTACTTTAATTCCACAAAACTATATTGAGAACCTTTCCCAACTTACTGAGGACACATAAGTTTATGAAACCATGACTTTTAATGGTCTTCTTGAGAAGTCTGTTATGTCTTGAGTCTCTATTTCAGTTGGCATTTATCTGCCAGGCCCTAGGCTAAGTATAGGTAGGGTTCAAAGTGCAGAGAACTTATGTACTTGTTTACAGAGCCCAGTGGTTGGCAAACTCATTAGTCAACAGAGCCAAATATCAACAGTACAACGATTGAAATTAATTTTGAGAGCCACATTTTTAAAACTTAAACTTCTTCTAATGCCACTTCTTCAAAATAGACTCGCCCAGGCTGTGGTATTTTGTGGAAGAGCCACACTCAAGGGGCCAAAGAGCCGCATGTGGCTCGCAAGCCGCAGTTTACCAACCACTGGCATAGCCCATGGACACAGGCAATAGGGTGGTGAAGAACAAAGTGCATAAGACAGACCTAGTTCTCATGAATAGTTAGTTTATTAGGAGAGACATAAATGTAAATACATTATGAAAATACATTACAATAAATGCAGTTCTATACCAAAGATGAAGTTGTTTAGAGTAAGAAGTGGTATATTCTGTCTGGGAGACAATGATGTGGAGTGCAAAGGGATAAAGAGATGCTTCCTTGATAAGGTGACAGTTGATCCACAAGAATACAAGGTGGTCAGGAGTATTCAAAACAGCCTGTAAAATGAACAGAATCATATAAAAGTAGGATTGATTGTGAGAAACATGTATTGTAGTTCAAAATTACTGAACAAAAAGTTTAAGGGCTTAGAGGAGAGAGGAAAGGAATACTTTGCCATAGGGAGAAGCAATGATCAGATAGTTAAGGACTTAATATGCCAGGCTAAGGATCTGGGACTTTATTCTCTAGACCTTAGAGTCTGGGGAATTAGGAGTACTTGGAGTATTATAAACTGAAGGGGAAAATGAAAAAGACTATTATGGTAACTGGATGGAATATGGACAAAAGGGGAAGAGACTGGAAGTGTAGTTAGGTGGTTATTGAAAATCGAACTACAGGTGATGGAGACTAGCCAAGGCCTTGAAGTAGAAACAGAAAAGAGAAGATAGATTCAAGAAATATTTTAAACATAGACAAGACAGGACTTGAAGAATATATTGAATGTGAAGACTAAAGGAGATGAAATACTGGATAGCTCCAAGTTTTCTCTTGGAAGTGCTAAGTGGATTAGTGATATTCTCAGCTGAGATGAAGACTATTAGGAGGAAGAATAGGTTGGGTAGAGTTCAGAGAGATTACAGAGTTTTAGCTTTGTACCTTCCATAAGGCCAGTAGATGTATACTTGCTCATTGCAATATCCTGCAGAATCTAGCACATCACACATGTGAAGGAAATGTAAATTAATGAATTAAATACAAGGTAGTTATTGATATGCATATGCATATAATTAAATGTTCCAGAGTACAGATTTGGAGACACTAATATTAAATTGACATTTAAACCCTAGAAGCAAAGGGCTCATTCAGGGTAACATGCAAGATGAGAAAACAGAGCCAAGGACAGAACTCCAAGAAATGCCAACATTTAACCATCCTGTAGATATTCAGAAGGATGTTAAGAAGGAATTGTTAATGAGAAATAAATGCACATGAGTCATAAAAAGGAAAGAAAAACAAGTTTGAAGACAGGGAATTGCAACATCATACTAAGATAAGGATTAAAACATGCCCTTTGGAATTAGTAATATATATACTGAGTGGCAAGATTATTATGATCTCTGAACGCATAATAATCTGGCCACTCAGTGTGTGGGTGTAAAAAAAAACATATATATGTATATATATATATATTGTGTGTATATATATATATATATATATATACACACACACATATATATATATACACACACACACACACAAATACACACACACACACACACACACACACACATATATATATATATATATATATATATACACACACACACACACATATATATATATATATGTATATTAGAGACCCGGTGCATGAATTCTTACATGGGTGGGGTCTGGCCACCCTGGCCAGGGGAGGGCACATGGGCGGTTGGCTGGCCTGCTTGCTAGTTGAATTCTTGGTCTAGGGGACAATTTGCATATTAGACTTTTATTATATAGGATATACACTGAGTGGCCAGATTATTATGCGTTCAGGGTTCATAATAGTCTAGCCACTGAGTGTGAGTGTGTGTTTGTGTGTGTGTGTGTGTGTGTGTGTGTGTGTGTGTACTTTTATATATATATATAGTATATGTAAAAGGCTACCATGCAAAGTGTCCTCTTGGGAGTTTGACTGGGAGACTGTGAGTTTGATTGCTTGCTCTGACATGCCCTGATCACCAGTGGGTGGTGTGGAATGAAAGAAGGCCCAGCAGGCCCATTGGGGTAGCAGGCAGGACCGGCCACTCTGCATGCCTGTCTCCAGAGTCCCCCAGCCCCCTCAGCCCTCCTGCTACCCTGGCACAGGTAACCAGGGCTGGCTGAGGCTTGCAATGCCAGCAGTGGCAGCAGCAGAAGTGTGATGGGGGTGTTGCCTTTCCCTGATCTCTGGGTTGCCTCCTGCCCCTGAGGGCTCCCAGACTGTGAGGGCCAGGCTGGCTGAGGGACACCCCCCTCCAGTGCATGAATTTTCATGCTGCCAGGCCTTTGGTAAGAAAATAAGAACAAGAATGAATTGAAGAATAAGTTTAAGAGTTGTGTTCTGAAACCTCCACCTAACCCCCTTCTTGT